AGAAGTAGACGAAACTTTCAATTTAATAAGTAAGCTAAACAAGGTTTGCGTCTGCATCTAAAAATTGGTTTCAATGAAGAATAAACGCTGGACAAAATTTTATAAGATGATTTGACAATTAAGTAAGCTTTATGTCTAAAATATAAATAAGTAGTGCAAGCATTTTTATACTGGTTCGCTCAAATTGAGTAATTTTATACCAATATTCACTCCTAGTTTATGGCTATATTTTATGCACATTAATTTTTTAAGATTTTAAAAGAGAACTCAAAAGAAAAGAAAATTTAAAATAGTAAATGGACATAACTTTAATTTAGTTTTTTAAAAAGTTGACTAAACTTATTTCATTTTAATAATTTTATAAGCATAATTTCATTGAAAAAAATAGACTAAATTTAAGATAGATAGTTTAGTTTCACTCTAACATGTTAATTATATTATTTGGGTAACATAAGTCAAGTTTTATGTTTCATGGTTTAATTGTAATATTTTTTATGTATAAATTTACTGAAATAAGATTATATATATTTATATATTTATTTATAAATATATTAAAAATAAGTTTTAAATATATTTAAAATTTCTAAATTTGCTGATACAGGTCACTTTTAAACCATTTATGTGGAAAAGAAGTGACCACACTTGTGTGTGATGAAAATTCTGAGGAAAGGTTCAATAAACCTTAATTGATAGCATCCAATTTTCATTGTTCTTTGTCTATTTTATATTTTACTATATCATAAAAAGTAATATCCTTAGCCTTTGATCGACTTTCTTTCTTGCATTGTTGGCAGGTTCTTTGAATGTCATTTTGGGAAAGAGATATATGTCACCGAACAATAGTGTCACTTGTTGGATGTTTTTCTGTCTGTGACTATCATGTTATATGCTTGCAGTCTACGGTACATACATCTTCAAGCATAATATTTATTATTTAGATCGGAGTGTTTTATGCCTTATTCTAACAAAACTATTTGAAGGTTGTGAATTATCTGATTGATCCTTTTGTTGGAGGTACTAGTGCAGCGGATCCCGAATCTCTTTCTGTAAGTTAATTCCCAGAATTTAGTTTATTTCTAAAATATTTCATATTTTGTCCTATTAAATTTGATTTTCTTAGATTAATTAATCATATAAGATAGTTAATTATGATCCAAGTATGATTT